TATTATTATTATTTTTTTTCCATTCAAAGTAAGCTGTTTCAATTGATCAATATCATTTTGTGCACTGAACATTTTGTGGTATGCTTGCTGACCTTAAACGTGAAGCTCCAAATGCATCAGCAAAACATATAAGATCATCCACAGATTCTGGGTAAAATCCTGCAACTAGAGCACGGGCATAGGCCATTGCTTGTTCTTTGCAAAGCATAGCTTTACGATTATCTAGAACACGTTGAAGGCGAATTCTGTTCATAGAAAATTGATGAAGAGAATGTTATAAGGAATATTAGATACATCCTGAAGAACAAAAAGATTTCAGACAAAGGAACATAAGGAAAACACCAAAAATTCAATACCTGGAGTTTTCTTCATATCCATCTTCATTGTTTCCAGGTTGCTCATCTTTCAGCTAAACACACCAGATGATAAGAGTTTAAATAGCTTACCGAAACTGAAGAAAACATTAGCAAGAGCCACATTTACATACCTTAGAGGAAGTTGTTGACTTTCTGACACGTCCATCTGCAGATAACATGTTTCTTGTTAACAACAGCTCAAAATAAAAAGTTGGAGTAACAATTTTCTTTTCTTTTTCTAATTTACCTTCATTATTACACCAATAGAAACAGTGCAGATTTCCAGTTAACCTTACCTGCTTTATACCTTTTCTCTTTCCCCAGTTCTTATATTAAGTGGTAGTGGAAGATAAACTAATAGAAAAGGAAGAAAGAGATGGACAACTGGTTATGGCTTCAGAAAAGTGGCTAATGATACTGCCTAGAGGTTCATGTGCTAGTCTTTCTTACAGAGGATCGTACAAAAAATCAAATTTGGTACCCTTCCAATTAGATTAGCCAAAGATAAAGGCTTACATCATAATATGTGAGTTTAGCATCTAATACTATTCGGAACTTTCAAAGAAGAAAAAAAGTAATGACCTTTGTAATTGAATAGTTGCAGAATTATGGAAAGAAATAAGAATTTACCACAAGAAAGTTTAATTAAAAATGATGATAGGGGAAAATAATTGAGAAGGAGCTAGATGTTCTGCGATATCCAATTCCAATCAACACAGTAACTAAATAACGGGAAAAAGATTTTCTATTCATACCTTCTGCTTCCGCGACCAAATTGCTCCTCTCACTTGACTGAATCGACCCTTCTTCAATCTGCACAATCTCCTTCTCTATTGTCACAAACCTCTCTAGAACTTCTGGAGTGCTTATAAATCTAACAAACCTATTGAAAATGAACCAAAACAGACAAACAACATCGGTCTTATAAAATCATTCCACGTGATTGTAACCTACACACAAGTAATTAAAGGAGGCTAAACATTATAATCCAATTTATCTCGGTCTGATCTAAAATTCATAATTTTCTGCATTCAGAACATTCTAAACCAATTTATTAAACTCCCAAATGGTTGCAAACCAAAAGGAAGAGTAGAAGTGTAGAACTGAAGTAAGAGACTGAAGAACCTTTGGAGGGTGGCTTTGGTGAACCAGGGAGCATATCCACCAGGTGGACGCAGAGTGATGGAATAGCCACCTTTGGAAATCTGATCCTTGGCACTTTTCAGGTGAGAAAGAAAAGGTTCTAACAGCCCAGAAGCCAGTCTTTCAGTCACACCTCCACCAGCAACAACAAGGTCACACCTTCAACATACAAAACAAGAAATACGCAAAGTTAAAACTATTTGGTGCTACAATATTTACGTGTCTGTGAACTGTGAATCATTAGAACCTGGTTCTGGTTGGAGTGAGCTGAAAGAGGGCATGATCAAGACGAGTGCTTGGGTCCATAGCAGGAGCAAGAAGATCCAACTGAGAGAGAGGTTGAAAGTTGAAAGCTTTGGATCCTTAACCTTACGAAGTCCCTCCTCTTACATGGAATGCAGAAGAGGGAGGTGATCACAGGGACATGGGGTGAGTGAGAAGAATGTGGGAATGGAAAAAGGGGGTTTTGTTGAGTTGGGAACGTGGGACCAACAGAACATGCCGATGCTATCGTGTAGACACTCATACACACACTCGCACGTTGTTCTTTCAGAAAGAGAATTGTGTGGAGAGTGATTTAACTCTTGGAACTTGCAAAGAGGATGATGAAAGCTGAAAGCAGATAGAGTAGAAGGTGGTTAAGAGGTCCATTTTCCTTCCTCTGTTAACGTTTCATTCAAGAGAGCAAGAGAGCGGAGAGAGAATTGTATGTGACCATGTCTTGTTTGGTTTAGATTGTTGTCGGTGTCATTCACAGGAGAAGAGTGAGTGAGTGAGCAGCAAAGAATAATTACAGTTGTTGTAATCACTTCACATCACGGTTCATCGTTCTTGTCAATGCCAAGTGCCAACCACAAAAATAATAATACAAATAAATAAAAGTATCCTTTTGGCATCAACCTCATCTGTCTACTTCACATTCTCATGATCCCAACAAACAGTAATAATTCGTACAAAACTTTTCTTCACTTGGATTATCTTCATCAATCTATCAACTCGTTTTTCTTATGCAATGTACAATGTAAATGTTGGCTTGAACAAATTAGTACAAAAAAGGTAAAATTATTATTGTATATTTTAGTTTCTTCAGATAAACTTTATATATAAATTATAATTCCCATTTTCAATAGCATGTAGCCGTAATATAATGAAGAATTTTTACATTCAAGCTAGTATTTTGATTGATTACTTACTTTTTCGTATCCATGACAGTTTGGAATGACGTAGCTGGATTAATTTTATGTTTTAATAATACAAAGTAAGATTTTCATAAGGGATACTTGCATTAATATGAAAGAGGTATATGATACTAAAAGAATAGTATATATATAATGTTATCTTATTATATGGACTAATGAAATCCTGGCCTAGAGAAACAGAGACATTGGTTAAATACGTAGGAAGTACACATTGAATAAACTGAATCATTAAAAATGAAGAAATGGAAAGTGATGATTGTTAATGTTGGGAGATGAAGAGTAGCTATCTGTGGTTTGCAACCATGATTAGAGTGAATAAATTGGAAGGAGCTAGCTGTCTATAATTGTATGTTTATGTGCAAACTAATGTACATCTCCAAAACAAAGGAAACCGACAAATATGAGAAAGGTAACAACCAAAGCTCACCAATAACGATGATACAACAAGTTATTGGAAAGAATGTTGTGTTCTTGATCTTCTAGAAAAGGACTTTCACATGAGGATAAATACTTGTCCTTTCTTATTTCTCATCCAAAAGAAAAAGGAAAATCTCTGTTTTCTTTGTTTCATTTGATCCTATGTGCTTTGCTTGATTAAGGAAGAGAAAAACAAGAGCTGAAAACATTTTCAGAATGGAAAGAATTATCATTGTATATTATTTTTTAATTTTTAGCCAAATGAAAAACACATCAATCATTGTATGTGGGTTTTTTTTATCTTTGAAAGCAACAATAAAAGAGCCACTCTAGGACTTAAAAATTATGCAGACAATTTTAGGGCATGCATGGACAATTGAAATCTACCTATTTAGTAGTTAAGGACAATGACATTGGCACTCTTGTGGCTAATGTTATGGTGGTTGGATCGGTTGATACAAGAAAAAAAGGGAAACAAATTTGCAATCATAGCTTTGCTAATAATCCATGACTTTTCAGCTTAATGTTGGTTGATAAGTAGCTTTACAACACTCAGAACCAAATGCTTATCTGATTGCTTCACCATGTGCCAACAGTAAGTAGGCCATAATTATTGTTATTTGATTGATACTATTATATTATTTTTGGATTTTCCCTTGATTTGATATTTGTACTAGCTCTATCTTATCTCGAAAAAAATAAAAAAAACACTGTTACAGTCTCTAACTTTCATATATTTTAATGTAGGAGGGATATGAAAGGTTCTGTATAATCATTAGTTAATAGTCTTTCAAAATGACTAAATTTATGAGGGAAATGTACTCTCAAATGTAGATCATAATACAGTAAATTTCTCACTTTCTTCATTCTTTACTCTGT